GGCCCTGTGGTTTGGTGGGGACCTGTCTGGTTGGCTGTATGGGGCCATGTGGTTTGGGGGGGGGGCTGTCAGGTTGGCTGTAAGTGGCCCTGTGGTTTCTATCAGTAGCCCTGCTCCCAGGTTCTGGTGTCTAAGACTCCACAGAGACACGTTAAAATCCAAAGGCTAAAAGTATGAGAAGCAGCCTGATAATTTGACACTGTGATTGTATACAGACAACTAGAAATAAATCTGGGTATACACGGACCAAAAGTCGGCCGATTCAGCAGGAACTGTCCAACGTTCGGTACGTGTTTACCACTTTCTGTTGAACAGAATCAGATCTAACGACTGGCTTCATCTAAAACCAGCATTCGATCAGCACCTGCAGCCAATGGCTGCAGCACTGATCTGTGTATTCTGGCCGAGGGGGGAGTCCCACCAGCTAGAATAAAGTAACTTAGGGAGAGAGATCCCTGCATCAGCATGGTTTGTATTGGTTCGGGGACCTATGTACAACAACAAAAATAACCAACATGTATGCTCTGCTTTGGTGATTACTAATGAGGTTTAGAAGATTTTGTACACAAAGGCAACGTACAACACATTCTGAACACAGGCAAAACATCGAACACTATATAGGGGGAGATTTCCTAAAACCGGAGGGTGCAAAATCTGGTGCAGCGCCGCATAGAAACCAATCCGCTTCCAGGTTTTATTGCCAAAGCTTCATTGAACAAGCTGAAGTTAGAAGCTGATTGGCTCCCAGGCACAGCTGCACCAGATTTAGTCAATCTCCCCCACTTTGTCTATAGAGGACATCAAGACCTGGCATTCCACAGGGAGAGGCACCCAGTGAAAAAGGATATTTAATTTTTATGTTCTGATTTTTCTGTTTGGATCAGACAGACCTCACCTTCTTCTGTAGGTTTCTCAAGAATTCTCCTGCAAAGGTCTTTTGTACAACCAGAGAGTCTATCAACATCAAGGAGTACAGGTGTGAGGTTCTGCTGTGCCAATGAGTTTTAGGAGGAGTTGGGTTCTACTGCAGAAAGTTCTGGAACAATTTGAAGGTTGTTGGGATCATGGAAGAATGTCTAGGGTGATTCTGATAAATGAATGAGGTTCTGGTGACTTCCTTTAGACCAGGGGTCTCAAATGTTCTAAACAAAGGCCAGTTTACTGTCCTTCAAGATTTTGGGAGGGGACAGAATGTGACTAGAGGAGAGCAGAAAATGTCTCAATGGAGTACAAAAAAAAATTGCATAGCAACCTGTGCTTTTGTAATGGGAGGAATAGTGGGTTCTACTGCATCATTTGTTGTGGGTCATGGAAGAATGTCTAGGGTGATTCTGATAAATGAGGAGGTTCTGGTGTCCCATCATTGGTGTCAGTGGGAGGAAACTGTCCTTCAGATTTTGGGAGGGGCAGAATGTGACTATCAATGTGTCAGTGGTAAAAAAGGAATAGTGCCCATCATTGGTGTTTGTGGGAGGAATAGTGCCCCATCATTGGTGTCAGTGGGAGGAATAGTGCCCCATCATTGGTGTCAGTGGGAGGAATAGTGCCCCATCATTGGTGTCAGTGGGAGGAATAGTGCCCCATCATTGGTGTCAGTGGGAGGAATAGTGTCCCATCATTGGTATCAGTGGGAGGAATAGTGCCCCATCATTGGTGTCAGTGGGAGGAATAGTGCCCCATCATTGGTATCAGTGGGAGGAATAGTGCCCCATCATTGGTGTCAGTGGGAGGAATAGTGTCTCATCATTGGTGTCAGTGGGAGGAATAGTGCCCCATCATTGGTATCAGTGGGAGGAATAGTGCCCCATCATTGGTGTCAGTGGGAGGAATAGTGCCTCATCATTGGTGTCAGTGGGAGGAATAGTGCCCCATCATTGGTATCAGTGGGAGGAATAGTGCCCCATCATTGGTGTCAGTGGGAGGAATAGTGCCCCATCATTGGTGTCAGTGGGAGGAATAGTGCCCCATCATTGGTGTCAGTGGGAGGAATAGTGCCTCATCATTGGTGTCAGTGGGAGGAATAGTGTCTCATCATTGGTGTCAGTGGGAGGAATAGTGTCCCATCATTGGTGTCAGTGGGAGGAATAGTGTCCCATCATTGGTGTCAGTGGGAGGAATAGTGTCCCATCATTGGTGTCAGTGGGAGGAATAGTGTCCCATCATTGGTGTCAGTGGAAGCAATGGTGCCTCGTTGTTGGTTTCAGTTGAAGAAATATCTTGACGATGGAAGGAAAAAGCGCCCCAAAGGCTGGGTAAAGGGAAATAAAAGGCCGCATCCAGCCCGCGGTCTGCAGTTTGAAGACCACTGCTGTAGACCTCTCATAGTTAGTCTGGTTGAAAAAAGACACATCTAGTTCAACCAATAAAAGGGGAAAAAAATTTTATACAATCCTATTCCCACAGTTGATCCAGAGGAAGGCATAGAGATCCTATGAAGAGGGATATTTTATTTTATGCTTATGTTCTTGTTTTCCTGTTTGGACCAAATAGCTGCTGAAGGTTTCTCAAGAATTCAGTTTTCTTTGTGACGTTCCATTGTACAACCAGAGAATCTAGCAAGGTCATAAGATGCAGTTGTGTGGTTCTGATGTGCTTATGTATTTTGGAGGAAGTTGGATTGTTCCGCAGAAGGTTCTGGAACATTTTAAAGGTTGCAGAGATTATGAAAGGCTTCTAGAGAGATTCTGATAAATGAATGAGGCTCTGACGGCTTTCTCTAGGCCTCTGAGATCCTATAAAGAGGGTTTTTTTTTTTTTTAATGTTTAGGGTCTGCTTATCCTATTTGGTACGGATAGACCTTATGTTCTTTTGAAGGTTTCTCAAGAATTCTATTTTATTCGGAAGGTTTTTTTTTTTTTTTGTATAACCAAACCTGTGAAGAGGGATATTTTATTTTATGCTTATGTTCTTTTTTTCTTGCTTGGACCAAACAGACCTCATGTTCTGATGAAGGTTTATCAAAAATTCAGTTTTCTTTGTGAAGTTCCGTTGAACTAGCAAGGTCATGGGCTGCGGTTGTACGGTTCTGGTGTGCTTAGGAGCTTTGAAAGGAGTTGGGATGAACTGCAGAAGTTTCTGGGACATTTTAGAAGTTGTGAATATTCTAGAAGGCTTCTAAGGAAATTATGATAAATGAATGAAGTTCTGGTGGCTTTCTGTAGACCTCTGAGATCCTAGTCACCTATTAAAGTTCTTCTGAGGTTGACTGTGTTGCTCATTCGAGGTTCTCATATATTTGTTGAGGCTCTTTTATATTTAAGATGTTGTGTGTATCTGGTCTGTGCTAAGTTTTGTAGGGAACAGGAGGGAATCCACCCATCTCGTTAACATAGTTCCCGGCAGGGTTCCAATTAGCAGGACATGAGGGCTATTTAGCACCTAGTTGTCAAAGAGAGCAGCTTGTAACTGACTTGAGGCTTCTGGGAAGAGCCGGACTTTGCTGGATGAAACACTGGCCAACCTTTCACTGTCCACCATGAGGATGATAGGAACAGAACATATCATTTCATAATCAGTCTTGTAGACTTTGGATAAAGCTGGCCTTAATGTTTGTCATGCCAATGGAAAACACCTAGTAGTGCATATGCCTTCATTTGAGAATTGATTAAAGAGCAGAGCAGGAATCTGAGGAGCAAAAGCATAGCTTGAAAACACCAACATGAGTTCACCTTTCAGTCTCTTTGTTACATCCCATTTTTTGTAGCACCATGGTAGATGATGACACAGTGTAAATTATTATTGGTACATGCCTGGAACTGGGAGTAGGACATATGGTCGCAAGGGGTTTCCACACCAAAAACCAATGTCAGTTGGTTACCATCTGGTAGGGTAGCTCTGGCCAATGATGAGGAATTGCTGGCTTTTTGGGGCACAGGGTGTTTCAACACAGAGAACAAAGGAAAATCTTGAAGTGTCCTTACCAGGGGGCTGAATGACCATTTGGAAACTTGGGCACTGCCCGAGGGCCCGGGGTCAGTAGGGGGCCCCATGAGATGCCCCTGGTACCTTTTTCATAGGTTTTTTTGAGTTTGGGCAAGGACATAGGGGCCTCATGATCCCCTATTGCCCCTGGTCCTTACCGAAGTATCCCAAATTTTAAAATCGCCTCTGCCTGAACCCCTCACACTCAGAAGAGTAACCCCTAAAATGATTCTAGTACCAAATCTTAACCATTCACTTAACATATAGACTTACACACATCAAAATACATAACTCTTAAAATTGACCTTGAACACTCACAAGTCTATTTATTTAAAAAAATAATCAGTGGACGAGAGCCACAACCATTCACCCATCCATCAGGATTTCTGACCATATTTTGCTTATAATTTTGATTTCCCATGATTGTCAGCACCATCTAGTGGCCATAATGCAAAACTGTCCTGATTGAGATATTTCTGGGGGGAAAAAAAAAGTACATTAAGGCCACTAGATGTCACTGACGATCATAGGAAATCAACTTATTAAGCAACAGTCAGAATTTGTGATGGCTGGGCAAATATTTGTGACATTCTTCCAATTTTTTTTTCTATAATAATTAGACCTCTAAAGTGAATTTGTACTTTGCTCATATTAGGCAAAGCAACAGTTTCTCTTTACTGCAGGGACCCTATGATGCCTTTATTTATCACTGGATCCTGTTCTAATACAATTCTATTCCTTTACTGAACCTTAGCCTTTATATATGAAAGCTTAAACTGGCCATACACTAGTTTTGTGCCGGATTGAATCAACCATCACCACCAGTGATGACCCTAATCAAACTCAGGAAACACTGAAGCAATCAGTACTGTTGGTGATGGTTGTATTGATAAAGTATGTGATTTATAGGCAGTTGAAAGTGATTGATATAGTCAAAAAATTGAAAAAAAAAAATACAATCCCTAGAATACCCAAATGTAGGACACGAGGTATTCTCATTCAGTATGCCATGGCCTGTCCAACAATGTCCGCTACATAATGCTGAGACACCAAATATGCCTCTATTTTTTTTTTGCAGACTTGGAGGTCCCCCCTAGTCAGAGGTATGATGGCTTATTCTCAGCGTTGGACCCTTCCCAGAGGATTCTGGGAGCCGCCCCACTCACACCACTCTCGTTACCCCCTGGTCCTGCCCTGGGGTTTGGTCAGCCTCAGCCTCCATGCGATGCACCTCGTCTGCCCGGAAATGTGAAGATGATACTGGAGAACAGAGAGCTCTGGAAACAATTCCACGCCATTGGAACAGAAATGATAATCACAAAATCTGGCAGGTGAGGTGAAGAGGGAAAAGGGATTCTATGTTTTTGGGCCGGTTTTAGAGAATGGAATAAAAAATAAGTTCTACCCTGAACAATCTGCAGAAAGTGGATGGTTTGCAGTACCACCAACACCATTGCTTGTAAATACCAAGTCACCACTAGCTCCTGGGTGCGGGTATTTCACAGCTGAAAGTGTCTAAACTGTTTTTGCTTTGGATAGTATGAAGAAAGGATAGAGCCTCGGTCAGGTTTTTATTGCTCTCTGTAGGCCTGTTAGGGAGACTTCCTTTCTCTATATGTCATGGTGACCATTGGGTGTCACACTTGTGATGCCATTAATTGTTAATGGAACCCCGAGCACGGTTAGCGGGCGCTTTGTTGTGCGGGAAATGTTCCATGCTCCACTCCTTAAAAGGTTTTGGAGCTTCTCTGGTTGTGTGTAAAGTGTGCTCTATACACAAGGAGCTTCAAAACGGGCAAAAAAAAAACGGAGCTACAGTCAGGTGTGAACCCATCCTTAGGGCACGGGTCGATGACACCATGTACTCACACAATGTCCTCAGTCTTCCAGGCTGAATGATGGTGGCCATCAGTCAAACCACAAGACTGGGGACATCTTGTGACAGAGAAAAGGTACTGCAAGGGACTGCTTTTTAAATGTTTTAAGCTGCTGGGGGTCATGTTTAAATGTCTTTGTAAGGAAGATTTTTCATCCCTTTGATAAATGTAGATGTGTGCTTTTAAACTCTCTCCAAATCCCCTGTTCTTCTGACAGTGAGGTGCCCAAATAAAAAGCTGTCATTTATACCAGGGAAATACTATATTTGCATTAGGGTTAACTGGATTTAGAAAATTCTTTAAATTCTTTTACCCCCCCCCCCCCCCCATCACTCTCCTTTTTGCCCCTTGCAGACGGATGTTTCCGCAGTGTAAGGTCAGCGTCAGTGGTCTGGAGCCAGATGGAAAGTACGTCCTTCTGGCTGACCTCGTCCCGGTGGACAACAATCGCTACAAATGGCAAGAAGACCACTGGGAGCCCAGCGGACGGGCGGAACCACGGCTGCCGGAGCGAGTGTACATCCACCCAGATTCGCCGGCCCCTGGATCACACTGGATGAAGCAGCCAATCTCCTTCCACAAAATCAAACTCACCAACAACACCCTGGACCAGATGGGACATGTAAGGCACAAGGGTGGTTTTGGGGGGGGGGAATGTGTATGAACATTACAAATATTTTTCCACCCACTAAAAAGGTCTACACTAAGTATATCTAATGCCAAAAAAATGTAGATACACTTGAAACACGTAAGAAATTCAGAAGCATTACCCACATTTTGCCCTGTGACCTTGTCTCCCGTCCAGATCATCCTGCACTCCATGCACCGCTACCAACCACGTTTCCATATTGTCCGAGCTCAGGACGTCTACAGCCGCCGATGGGGAGGGTGTTCGTCTTTCACCTTCCCAGAGACCCTGTTCCTGACCGTCACCGCCTACCAGAATGAAAAGGTGAGATGGAAGTTGGGGTTGAGGATGAGTGCCCTCCAGGGGCGGACTTACCATTTGGGAACTCCGGCACTGCCCGGGGTCAGTAGGGGGCCCCATGAGATTCCCCTGGTACCTTTTTCATAGGCTTTTTTGAGTTTGGGCAAGGACAGAGGGGCCCCATGATCCCCTATTGCCCGGGGGCCCCATGAGTTGTCAGTCCGCCCCTGGTGCCCCCCAAAAACTCATATTTCAGTTGTGGATGGATGATAGCAGGTCAGATTGATAGCAGAGCATTGCATCATCTATAAAAAAAAATGTAATTGCCGACTCCTGTGCCAGCTGCGGGCTCAGTCACCCTGCAGAGGCCAGTACAAGGGGCTTTTCTCCAAAAATTGTGCTTTTATTTTATGATCTATGCACTGCTGCGATAATAGATAACCTGTCCGGAAGGTCTGGGGAACTAAGGGCAGCACAGTGGCTAAATGGTTAGCACTTCCGCCTGGAAGTACTAGGGTCGTTGGTTCGAATCCCAGCCACGGTACCACCTGCCTGGAGTTTGCATGTTCTCCCTGTGACTGCGTGGGTTTCCTCTGGGTACTCCGGTTTCCTCCCACACTCCAAAGACATGCTGGTAGGTTAATCGGATCCGGTCTAAAAAATTGTCCCTAGTATGTGTATGTATGAATGTGAGTTAGGGACCTTAGATTGTACGCCCCTTGAGGGTTAGGGACTGATGTGAATGTACAATATATATGTAAAGTGCTGTGTAAATTGATGGCGCTATATAAGTACCTGTAATAAATAAATCTAGTGTGAGACTACAGACTGTTCAGCTGAGTTGTCTATGAAAATAAGTGCATGTTCCCTACTGAAAAGATTTTTTTTTCCAGCATAGAGCTGGTTATTGGGCGATAGCTTTGCGACTAGATATGACAGCTGCCCTTTATCCATTCACAAACATTAACCGCCCATTTACTTTTTTGCGGAGCGTTCACGAATGTGCATTAAGGCAGCTGATTTAAAAAGAATGGGCTTCCAACGCACCTTAACGTGCCTAATATCCAACGTGATCCTTTATTTGTAATGCAGGTGCATTGCCCAGTACTGGGCAAGGCCATCTAGATCCCAGAGCAAAGATGTCAAAGCACCCCTCGCCCCTAAACAAATGTATGAGCATTATGTGTCAGCAAAAATCCCCTCCCTTCCCCCAAAGAATTCTAGCACTAATCTGCCCACTTGCTCCATAAGCATAAATTCCATTTGCAACCCAAAATTGTCCCCATACAAAAATTCCTCCTCCTTCAGTACAAATCCCCCTCCCTGCTCAAATTGTATCCCTCCCCAAATCCTACTCCTAGCACAAATCATCCACCCCTCAATTTTCTCCCGAGCCTAAATCCTCTCCTCCTCCCCAAATCCCCCTAAATTTCCGCTCTTCCTCCCCAAATTCCCTTAAAATGACCCCTCCTTGCACAAATCCCCCCAATCATCCATACTAGCAAAAATTCCTTGCCCCAAGTCCCCCTTCCTAATGGAAATTCACCCTCCTAGTACAAATCCCCCCCCCCCCCCTCCAAATCTAGCACAACCCCCCCCCCCAAATCCCCACTGGACCCAGATCACTACCCTGGCCAATCACAGCAGGTCACATGACAATTGTATACAATGGATGGCCTCCTTTCATGCCATCCATTGTATACAATTGTGTTGTTAGCTGTGATTGGTCACAGTAGTCACATGGTACAGTCAGGGACACTGAAAGCTGAAAACTGGCTCCTAGCACAAATCATCCACCCCTCAAATTTCCCCCCTCAGCATAAATCCTCTCCTCCTCCCCAAATCCCCCTAAATTTCCTCTCTTCCTCCCCAAATTCCCTTAAATGGCCCCTCCTTGCACAAATCCCCCCAATCATCCATACTAGCAAAAATTCCTTGCCCAAAGTCCCCCTTCCTAACGGAAATTCACCCTTCTAGTACAAGTCCCCCCCCCCCATCCAAATCTAGCACAACGCCCCCAAACCCCCCTAAATTTCTCCTCCTAGCACAAGACCTTCACTCCAAGTCCCCCTTCCTAACAGAAATCCACCCTTCTAGTACAAACCCCCCCCCCCCGCTCCAAATCACCCATTCTAGCACAACCCCCCAAATCCCCACTGCACCCAGAGCAGCCACCCCTCCTGCCCACCTCTTGTCCCGGCCCTATTTGCCTTAGTGATTTGGAGTACCATTCAAAATGAATGAATTACATGCATTACTGCAATGCAGGACTGTATATGGGCTCTAAATGATAGTTTCACAAGTTGGATATAATTGTCATAAGAAGACATGAACCTGTTTAACACTTTCTGTCCAGCGTCCCACCCGGCCGTCAATCTGCTATAGGCTGGGCAGGATGCTCCTCCTTCTGAGTGGACCACGTTTCCATATTGTTGTCGTTTTCATATTGTCCACGGGACACAGCCAATGAAAGATCACTACCCTGGCCCACTGCCAGTTTCATCTGACTGCTGTGACCAATCACAGCAGATCACATGGCAACTGTATACAATGGATGGCTTCCTTTCATGCCATCCATTGTATACAATTGTGTTGTTAGCTGTGATTGGTCACATGGTACAGGCAGGGACACTGAAAGCTGAAAACTGGCCTGGCCAGGAAGGGGGTAAAAGTGCCCAATATTGAAGTGGTCATAGTTGAGAAGGATTGAGAGGTGGTAGTCAAGAGTTGGACCTTTGCTTGAGTAGAAAATGGGTGTGCATGGAGGAAAGTGCCAAAAGCAGAATGTACAAATTCCTCCTTTAACATCTAATTTCAGTGGTTTAAAGGGCTGCTCTTCTTTAGTTCTTGATCCTGTTGAACAAAGTGTGTACTGGACTGATGCCAGGTAATCGAGGATCCCTTATAAGTCAAGTTCATGATTTGTTCAACAGTACCAAGTCCTGATGGAGGGGAACTCTTTGAACCTCGGAAACGTGTTGGCTTTTTATGATAGATAAAATTCAATCTGGGCTTCATATGTTCTGCTTTCGGCACTTCCCTTTATGTACGCCCAGATGATAATTGATGACTGTGTCTCCATCAGGAAGACTTTCCCTCATTTCCTGTCCAGGCGATGGTTGTCAGAGCAAGAAGTGATATAGAAAGAGGAACAAAACCTGCCTTTACAACCAGTCAGAAAAATGTCCTCAACAGGGACACTAGTAGTATTTAAATACCAACAGGGGTGTTAGCCCCTCCCCCCTCAATTTAAAACTGAAGGACAAGTTTTTGTGAGAGTTGGGCTTTAGTCCCACTGTAAAAAGGTTGAGGGGGTTACCTCAAGTGGGGGTCGTAGTAGTGCTAATAGGACTTGATCTTTCAGTCCCTATGGTCGGTTGGCAGTCTAGATGTTGAGATTGGTGTGGTGAAAAGGAAGAGGGTGGGCACCTCATCAAGTCATCAGATGGGCACCCTCTTTTTTTTGGTGAGCTGCTATTGACATTTTTAAAGCCAGCCAATTTTCTTTTTTCTTGCTTGCAGATCACACAGCTGAAAATCCAGACCAACCCCTTTGCAAAAGGGTTTCGGGAAGACGGACTGAAGAATAAAAGGTGAGGGTGCCTCCTACAGTCACTACAGCAACAATGTGCAAATTCAATTATACACAAGATACCAAAACGTTCAAAATCAAGTAAAGGAGAATGCTACCAAACACCTACCTCCACGGATCAAAACATATAAATGAATGTTTAACCTTCTGACGGTTTAGTAAAGCAATCTGCACACTCTTGTGCTTCACCCTCCTCTGTCGTGCTGGATGGCCGCTCTGCAAAAGTGGGGCAGAGATATAGAAAAACGCTGTATAGGCGAGTAGGAATTCAGCGTACCAGTGCAATCTAAACATGGATGAAATATTTTCTGGTGGAGCTGTTTTTGAATCTTCTTATAATCTATATGTAGAAGAAATTATCCATTTTTTTTTACTGCAAGTTGATTCAAAAGTAATAAAACTCTTCACTCCTTTACAGAGATCGATCAAACAGAGCCAAGAGGAAACCAACAAACACAGAACAAGACCAGGAGTCCTTCCAGGCAGGTAAGAACTTTGTATAACTCATATTATTTCTACGTATGAATGTGGAAGGGAGCTGATAAAGGGGTCCAAAGAACCCTTTGCTAGTCCACCTCAATGTCAGAGGAGCTGCAAAAATAAAAGGAACGTTGGATTACATGGTCATACTCAGCAGATTGTCGGCAAAGACTTGAACAGGAAGTCTTAGTTGGATGTACATGGCCAGGGGGGGGCAGACTGACAACTCATGCGGCCCCCGGGCAATAGGGGATCATGGGGCCCCTGTGTCCTTGCCCAAACTCAAAAAAGCCTATGATAAAGGTACCAAGGGCATCTCATGGGGTCCCCTAGTGACCCCGGGCCCTCGGGGCAGTGCCCGAGTTTCCAAATGGTCAGTCCGCCCCTGCACGCCACACAGAAGTAAATGGTAACACACCTGCTGAGGGTGCTGCAGTGCAGTCCCTTGTAAATGGCGCCCCAATAGAGCCCAGCGCACCACAATGCCTATACTGTCCAATGTGGTGCACTGCATTGCTGAAAACAAAATGCGTGTTTTTTCATCCGCTGTGGTGCTTGGCAATCTATTCGCTGCCTTAACGCAATGCAATGGAGCGCTGGGCCCTGAACGCCCCACTTATAGACGCCAGATTACCGTCTCCCCTGTAAATTCAAACTCAAAAAAGCCTATGAAAAAGGTAGCAGGAGCATCTCATGGGGCCCCCTACTGCCCCCGGGCAGTGCCTGAGTTTCCAAATGGTCAGTCCACCCCTGTACATGGCACAGATTACTGAAAAAGATGCTCCTAAACTCCAAAAGTAGAGAAAATGTTCTTTTAGTAGAAAGCTGGAATACTGTATTGTCTATTTGTTTACTAACTGATTGTCCTGTCTTCTCTGTTTTTTTCACTCCACCTCTGTGCTCTAGCTGAATGTAAGAGACCCCTGTACTCGGGACCCTGCGACTCCACCCTGGACATCAGTGGTGCTCTGGCTCTCCCACTCCCAAGTCCTGACTGTTCCTTCCACCCCATCACACCCCCCAACCCAACACCACCCTCTGCCGAAGCCTCTGAGCCCTCAACGCTGCCTATGACAACCAATCAGGATCAAGGAGCCAGCTTGGACATGAACCCCCAAACTACAGAGTCTTATCTGCCTCCAGATAGACAGGCCTACCCAAAGATGCCCTCAGCAGGAGTTGGCAACATGTACACATGGTAAGTAGTAATTAACCTCTAAAGTACCAAAGAAAATCTACCTATGTTCAATCAATGGGGCCCAGCTCTGCTCCTGTCCACTCATGAATATTCCCGCTCTTCCTGTAGTATGCTTCAAGATGTAAAATAAATCCAACATAGAGAGTTGAGGCCCTTTATAATAGCAGCAGCAGATACACAGACCTTGAAAAGTCAAGTAGAAATCACCACATTTTAGAGACATAAGAATCATCTGTTTAAATTTTGATCTTCAGCCAGTCAGTCAGTCATTGGTGAAATGACCCCCAAGTCATTGGAAAACAGTATAGGAAGTCATGTTATAGATGTGGGCCAAACATCTGCATTTAAGAAGCCTAAGAAAGCCATTATAGCTATCTAAAGCTTTGTTGGGCTTGTTCTTGTTGAACCCCATCAGTGCAAAATTTAGAAATCATGGTTTTTACAGAGTAGAACTGAAGGCAGTGCAACCAGCCAGATTATCAAAATAAAAAGCCTTCAACCCAAATCCCATGACTATGACCCAAATTTTCATTTTTATCTTGAGCTGATGAGATCTAAAGTCTAACATGACATTTCAAAGGTTCTATCTGTACTATAAAAGAGCTGTAGAAATTGTAGAATAATTTGCATGATTCCACCCAACCAGCAACTGCAGAGCCCACAGCTACCCATACCATTTGAATTGAAGCCATTAAATATCATTGTGCATTAACAGTAGACTCCTAACTACATCATTTCTTCTCCCACCAGCCAATCAGAACCTGCTGTCTCTCAGGGCCAAGTGGTCCCTCGTCCTCCCTCCCTGCAGCGGTTTCCCCCATCGTTTCAGGCCTCCCAGGACACCGCTGCACTCTACGACAGTCAAGTAGATTTTAGGCTTTATGGGCAGGAAATGAGCTGCACAGGAAATTATGGCCCCTCAACCTGCTCTGGGACGACTCCTGGAGCAGATGAAGATTCTAGCAGAGGTTATACCAAAAACTCCGATCTACGCTTTCAACACTTCCTACCAAATTCTGGGCCCAAGCCAGGACTGCAGTTCCCAGGAGCTCAGCTTCAACGCCTCTACACGGGTGGAGGCTGGATATAAGATGCCCTTCAAGAGAGCATAAGCCACCGGCATGGTCAGAAGGACTTCTATGGCCAAAAGCAGGAACCCAATTACAGAAGAGACAGTTGGGCTTATAATTTGTCAGGTACAAAAAGGGCACAAAGTCTTGAAACTCTAGGCCTGTGCCTACAGACCAACCCCAGACATATATTTTATTTCCCATGATGCTATTCGGGTCTCTTGCTGCCTTAATGTCTACATTAACTAACAGAAGCTGCTTATCAATTATTAAGTCAATCTCAACAGCTTTTCTCTGCATGCTCTGTGTCTCTTGGTTTGTCCAATTTAGGAAAGACATGGGAAAAAACAAGAGCTGTAAGGACCTCTAAGAGAAGGTTCACTTTTTCTCTTTTTAAAACGAGTACTTCAATTATAAGATATCTGAGACATGCTTACTAATGAACACTGATAAGACGTTCACCCGAGATGTGGAAGTAGGTGAAGCGTCTTGAAATTCATATATTTGAGGTGTAAAAAAAAAAAAAAAAAAAGGAACTCTTTTGCACAAGTCGGGACAATGGGGTAGCTTTACGAACACTCGTGCACTCACAATCTGGTGCAGCTGAACATGGCAGCCAATCAGCTTCTAACTTCAGTTTGTTCCATTAAGCTTTGGAAATAAAACCTGGAAGCTCATTGGTTTCTATGCGGAGCCGCACCAGATTTTGCGCTCTTCATTTTTAGTAAATAACCCCCAATGTCTAAGCAAAATTGCTTGGAGAGATGTACTAAAATACAGAATTAGATTTACTAGTAAATCCAGGACTGCACAAGAGAGGCTCCTCCATGAAGGACAGGAAACACGTCGACAAAACCGCTGCAAGAAACTACCGCAGAACTGGTCAGCTGTAAACAAGAACTGATGGACGTAATTGTAAGAAAAACAGATAATATAAAGAACTTACAATAAAGACAGAAACCCCGCTGGCCCAAAAACAGTGTTTCCGGTGAGTCTCATTCCTGTTTTCCCCAAGTCCTCTTCCGAAAGTCTTAGACACTGACCACGACCTTACAGATGTGGTGGCCACATACAGTATGACCAGTTTTGTAGTAGGACTTTTGTTTTTTGGTGGCGTGTCCCCTGTTTCTGGCAGGGGGAGCCTCTATCTCATGTACTCTCCTGGAAGGTAACTCGGTGGTAAACAGAGTTAACTTGTTTATGTGACAGAGTAGCTCCAATGAGAAGATCAGACCACCATGCAGCTAAGTTAGGTGTCAAAGCATTATATAGAGGCTGGTACTTCTCCCATCAGCAGATGAATGCAGAGTCAGGTCCACCTCCACAAATCAAGTGACCAACCACAAAGCATTCTTCAGCTTTCCAAAGCATAAAGATCAAGGCGATCTCTTCTCTGCCTAATATTAAATACAACCTTTCAGTTTTCTCATGAAGTTGTCAGAGGAGTATGAGGAGTTTATAAAAAGTGATCAGCAGGTGGAAATCTTTTTATACTTTAAAGGGGGAAAAAAAAAGATTTTTTTTTCAAGAGTTTTCTGCTGCTGCAGTTTGTGTTTTTGCTTTTGTTATGAATGTTGACACTTCATTTGTTTTGTAATCAGTTTGAGTGCATGTTTTATGTCGCCCCTGACCCCAGCTATTCTGTACAAAACCCCCAAACTTGTTTTTTTATGTGCTATTCTTTATCTCTACAGTCAGTGCCTTGAACAATTATTTATCAGCCTTTGTGTACCGTTTAGCTTCCTCGGATGTATATTTTTTTTTTATATATTGCAATAAAAGATTGTTCAATTTTTCTGATTATAAAAAGGAAAAAAGGAGAATTCTTCCCACTGACCACCACTGGAAGGAGCATTTTTCCCATTGACCACCAATGGAAGAGACTTCTTGCAGCTTACCACGCATGGAAGGGGCATTGTCCCAACTGACCATCAGTGTAAGGGGGAATTCTTCCTACTGACCCCTTATGTAAGGGGAATTCTTCCCATTGACCACCGCTGTAAGGAGTCTTCTTCCCTTTGATCACTAATGGAAGGGATATTCTTACCATTGACCACCAATGAAACGAGCATTCTTCCCACTGACCACCAATGGAAGGGGCATTGTCCCCACTAGCCACCAATGTAAGGGGCATTCTTCCCACTGACCACCAATGGAAGGGGCATTGTCCCCACTAGCCACCAATGTAAGGGGCATTCTTCCCACTGACCACCAATGGAAGGGGTATTCATCCCACTAACCACCAATGTAAGGAGCATTCTTTCCACTAACCACTAATGGAAGGGGTATTCTTCCCATTTACCATTAATGGAAGAGTATTCTTCCCATTGACCACCAATGGAAGGGGCATTGTCCCCACTAGCCACCAATGGAAGGAGCATTCTTTCCAGAAGAATTCTTCCTACAAATCACCAGTGTTATGTGGTCCTTCTACTACTGATCACTAGCCTAAGGGGGCCCTTTCCCCAATGACATACAAGGGTAAGGGAGTATTTCACTAAACATCATGGTAAGGGGGCACTTTAATGCCCAACAATGTAAGATAACACTTTTCCACGGACCATTTTTGCAATGAACACCAACTATTCACTGTCTTCCTTTCTTTCCTGGCCATTACTACTACAGTAACTTTTTCCTATAGACAAGTCCTGGGGGTCAAATGCACGAAGTTCACCAAACTCCTTATTGTAGAATTCTTTTCCAATATCTCAGCTTACTGTTCACACTAATATGACACAAGTTGTAGTACGGTAATTGGCAGGGGTTCATCAAGACCTGAATGTTAGTTCAATGGTTCTCTTGTGTTACAAAGGTTGAGAAAGGCCGGTCTAACCTGAATCCAGGACCTCAGTGTTTCAAGGTAGAAAGGCTGTTCATTTAACCAAGCATGGATCTATAAAAAAAAATGTTCCAAAAAAAAAAAAAAAAATTAAAGTCTCATCAAAAACATGTTTCAGGCAAATGTTAGGACTCCCTAAAAAAAAAAAAAAAAAAAAAAAAAAAAAATAATGGATAGCTTCTCTTTAATATTGAGTCAACTGAGGTATCCTGGGGCATGCATGTGCTTGTAGTTCCATGGCAGCTGGAACAGCCCCCGGATGAAAAAAAAAAAAAAAAAAAAAAAAAAAAAGGAAGAAGGTCTTCCTGTTCCTACACACACCAATCCTGTTTGCACCTGCACCCCCTTGCCAAATCTCAGACACCATTTGTCTTCCCCATCTTGCATCAGATTGCCTGTTTTCACACCTCCCCACCCCCTCCACAGCAGCCAAGCATCTGCCCTGGCCAGACAGGAAGATGCAAATGTCCGAACTGCTCTCTCATCCTGGGCTTTACTGGCCAGTTAAATGAGGATCCTGGATCAAAAGTTTCAGCTTTCAAAACTTTTAAAGGGGAACTGCAGGGTAACATTTCACATACAGTTGCTGCATTGAATTCTAGGCATGGCAATTTTCAGATGGTTACATTAATGCAGCTTGGACCAGTGTAAACCCAGCCATAGATAGTTGGAATCTTGGCCGATTCAGCAGGGACCAGCCAAGATTCAAACCATGTATGAGCAGGCTGAATGTACCCAACCGATCGATCGGCCTGATTTTACATGTGATTATTGCTATTACAGCCGCTAGCAGTAATTACTGTGATCTCCCAGTGGGGACGGCTCCCCCCCACCAGAACTAAAAACGCTCCACGGGAGGGATTCACCCATCAACATTGACTGTGGTGATAGGGGAATTGAGCAATTTTCTTTCTTGCACCCTGTCTATGGCCAGCCTACGTAGGTATGCACTATACCTCTGGGATCCCCATGGAAGCCGGAAATCATTGGAGTAGGCACTGCTACTAGACCGATCACCGTTAGCTTCCAAGTCCCATGCTGAGCGACTGCCATGATGCTTCATCGATACAGGAGATCGCAAGCTCAACAGAAGCACAATTCAGAGAACACCTGAGAGGTAGGATGGTGATATCACAATCGTTACCTCGTCCAGTCAGAGAACCCTTTGCATTCAATCCAGCAAATCCAAAGTGTCCCCTGAACGACACCCATGCCGAGCCTGTGACCTCCTGTGTTCAGTACGCAGCAGGGCAGCCGCCCAGCATGGGGCCCAGAATCTACTGGAGGTCACTGGAGTAGTGGTGTCTACTACATCGATTTCCACCTCACACAAGGATCCCACAGGTATGGTCCATACTTACTTACATTATTATTATATAGGATTTATAGAGCGCCAACAGTTTGCTCAGCACTTTACAAAATAAAAGAAGACAATACAGCAACAATACAAGAGGGTTAGGAGGGCCCTGCTCCTTGGAGCTTACAATCTAAGAGGGAGGGGCTGGTGGTACAAAAGGTAATAACTATGGGGGATGGAGTGGTAGGAGGAATACAAGATTCCAGTATTAGCTGAAAGCAGGATAGGCTTCCCTGAAGAGAGAGGTTTTCCTAAAAGTGGGCAGAGTAGGCAATAGTCTGATAGATTGGGGTAGAGAGTTCCAGAGGATGGGGTAGGCTCTGGAGACAAGCATGGGAGGGGGAGACAAGGGAGCTAGAGAGCAGTAGGTCATGCGTGGAGCGGAGAGGACGGTTTGGGTGATACTTGAAGACAAGGTTGGTGATGTAATTTGGGGCGGAGTTATGAATGGCTTTATATGTTATTGTTAATGTTTTGAATTTTATTCGTTGGGCAATGGGAAGCCAGTGGAGGGATTGGCAGAAAGGGATGACGGACACTGAATGGGGGCCAGTGGAGGGATTGGCAGAGAGGGGTGGAGGACACTGAATGGGGGCCAGTGGAGGGATTGGCAGAGAGCGGTCGAGGACACTGAATGGGAAGCCAGTGGAGGGATTGGCAGAGAGGGGTGGAGGACACTGAATTGGGTCCAGTGGAGGGATTGGCAGAGAGCGGTCGAGGACACTAAATGTGAAGCCAGTGGAGGGATTGGCAGAGAGGGGTGGAGGACACTGAATGGGGGCCAGTGGAGGGATTGGCAGAGAGGGGTGGAGGACACTGAATGGGGGCCAGTGGAGGGATTGGCAGAGAGAGGTGGAGGACACTGAATGAGAAGCCAGTGCAGGGATTGGCAGAGAGGTGTGGAGGACACTGAATGGGAAGCCAGTGGAGGGATTGGCAGAGAGGGGTGGAGGACACTGAATGAGAAGCCAGTGCAGGGATTGGCAGAGAGGTGTGGAGGACACTGAATGGGAAGCCAGTGGAGGGATTGGCAGAGAGGGGTGGAGGACACTGAATGGGAAGCCAGTGGAGGGATTGGCAGAGAGGGGTGGAGGACACTGAATGGGAAGCCAGTGGAGGGATTAGCAGAGAGAGGGATGGAGGACACTGAATGGGGGCCAGTGGAGGGATTGGCAGAGAGGGATGGAGGACACTGAATGGGTACCAGTGGAGGGATTGGCAGAGAGGGATGGAGGACACTGAATGGGAAGCCAGTGGAGGGATTGGCAGAGAGGGGTGGAGGACACTGAATGGGGGCCAGTGGAGGGATTGGCAGAGAGGGATGGAGGACACTGAATGGGGGCCAGTGGAGGGATTGGCAGAGAGGGATGTAGGACACTGAATGGGAAGCCAGTGGAGGGATTGGCAGAGAGGGATGTAGGACACTGAATGGGAAGCCAGTGGAGGGATTGGCAGAGAGGGGTGGAGGAAACTGAATGGGGGCCAGTGGAGGGATTGGCAGAGAGAGATGGAGGACACTGAATGGATACCAGTGGAGGGATTGGCAGAGAGGGATGGGGGACACTGAATGGGTACCAGTGGAGGAATTGGCAGGGAGGGATGGAGGACACTGAATGGAGGCCAGTGGATGGAACACGACTACAGTGATCTGTTTGCTTCTGGGTCCTATGCCAAGCATATGTATGTGCTGCTGCTTACTGAACACAGGTCAGACGCTAGGCATGGCGCTATTCAAAAAGTGATTTGCAGCTCTGATGGGGAAAAAGGTGCAGCTTGTGACATCACTGCTCTGCCTCTGCACCTCATCCAATCAGAGAATGCTTTGCATTAATTAAAAAAAAATGCAAAGCATTCTCTGAATGGTGCAAAGCGATTGACCTCCTCCAGCTGGAACGCTACGCTCCCTCATTTGTATATTGTTGTCTATTTAGAATAAGGTCCAAGTAAAGGTGATTTTGTTGGATGTGCGGCTTTTTCTTCTCTCCCAACACCGATCATCTACTTGCAGTGGTCAAGGTGTATCCTATTCCCGGAGTCACAGATATAAAATGTGAAGGTTACCTCAAAGGAGCCGGGGGCAGCAACAAAACCCTCAAAGATCTAGTCAAAACGAGTTTCATTTATAGTCTCCTTCACAAGAGTTCGAAGAGGAGAACCAGCTGGGTTTCCACATCGCAACCAGATTTAAACACTTCTACACTGAGCATTTGACATCTGAATACTAGAGGCAACATCAGTATTTGTGGTCTCAGAAATGTTCTTGCACAAAGCCCTTGTGTGTTTGGTCTAATGCAGGCCATACACGGGTTGAAAATCGGCCAATTTTTCGGATGGGGAAAAAAAAAAATTCGGCCAATTTTCGCACCGTTAGTGGGTTAATTGGTCGGCCGTTTTTCCGGATTTTGGCACATTTTTTTTAATTGGTGAAGTTGGAAAAAAAAAAAAAAAAACAGCCGATTTTTCCCGGCGATGATGGGCAAATCAGTTGATCTTACTACCGATAAAAAATTTGCGCATAAGCCATGACCTGCAAGAAGAAAAAGAAGAAAATAGGAAAATAAATTCCAGTCCGCTATTATATTTGACATGAAAAAGTATTGCGTTTGAAACAATGTATCTATTTGCAATCCGAATAAAAACATCTGTATCCGAAATGGATACATTGTTGCAACTGCAATACTTTTTCATGTCAAATATAATAGCGGGGCTCTCTGCAGGGACAGAAGTAATGAAATGCCGGCTGAAGACGGGACGAAAATCAGCCGATTCTTTTTACTGTTGGTGGTAACAGCGGCTTATTGAACGACCAATTTTTCGTTTTTTTTTTTTAAAAACCAGCTTGTTTTCAACCATCTATGGCCTGCATTAGTCTGATGCTGCTTGGGGAGCATCTCCGTGCTGACTCAACAATTGAGCTTGGTGGTATGCAACCTATTGCTTGCTGTATGTGCAGATACTGGCACCTACTGGTCACTAAAGAGAATGCAAGCTATACTTTGCTGGCTTTTTGTAGGCTGATGCTTGTGATAATGTGATTGACACAGATAAAGAAGCAAGATTGGCTCAGGACCAGCCCAAAAGAGAACTTCTATACGGGGGGTTGTAAAAAACCATTACTAGTATAAAAAATTCCAGTATATTTACCACGATTTCTAGAAGCTTTAACTTTCACATAAACTAATTTACACATATTGGTATTTTTTTTTTTTTTTTTTTTTTTTTTAGCAAAGGCATGAAGCAGAATGCATTTTTCGGCCCAAATATATGAAGGAATTTGACTAACTTGTTTCTAGAACACATATCCAATAAAAAAAAAATTTTAAAAGTTTGTTTTATTTTTTCAAAATTGCCGTGTTTTTTTTTTTTGTTTATAATGCAAAAAAAAAAAAAAAATCAAATGGAGGAAGTGATCAAATACCACCAAAAGAAAGCTCTATTTGTGTGGGAAAAAAGGACACAAATTTCATTTATGTTGCATGACTGCACAATTGTCAGTTAAATTAATGCAGCACTGTATCGCAAAAAATGGCCTGGCCAGGAAGGGGGGGGGGGGGGGGGTTGGTGAATCCTCTGGAGGGCGAGGGGTTATAAAGCCATCAGTATCCATAATATAATATTTTGAGCAGGCATTTCCCCACTGACCATCAATGGAATGGGGTATCTTTCTATTGACATCCAAACTTCTTTTCTGTTTATTACATTTCCAAATTATTACTAAAGATACAAAACATCTAAGAGCATGGGGGTGCTAAAAAAAAAAAGTGACTCTGGGAGTCAAATACACAATTTGGGGGAGGGGGGGGGGGGGGAGGGGGGGGGGGGGGGGGTGGGGGGGGGGGGGGGGGGGGGGGGGGGGGGGGTTACTAAAACTGGAGTGTGCAAAATCTGGTGCAGCTCTGCCCAGAAACCAATCAGCTTCCAGGTTTGATTGTTAAAGCATTAAAGAAATAAAAAAATTAAACATTTTTTTGAAAAATTATAGTTTTTGGTTATAAACTAATTTGGGTTATTTTTTTTTTACTAAAAAGATAGATTAATACATTTTGGCCAAGATTGAAGAAAAAGATTATTAATTTGCATTAAACTTTTTTTTTTTTTTTTAAACTTTTTGGAATTTTTCATTTATATAGCAAAAAAGTTAAAATCCCTGTGGTGAGTAAATACCACCAAAATAAAGATTTACCTGTCTCAAAAAAATTCATATGGGTACAGTGTTGCATGACCGCGCAATTGTGAAAGTCTGATAGTGCTGAAAGCTGAAAGCTGAAAATTGGACTGGAAGGGGGGGGGGGGGTGAAAGTGGACAGGAAGAGGGTGAAAGTGTCCGGACTGGAAGGGGGGGGGGGTGAAAGTGTCCGGACTGGAAGGGGGGGGGTGAAAGTGTCCGGACTGGAAGGGGGTGAAAGTGTCCATCCATCCAGACTTGAAGTGGTTAAAGCTTCATTAAACAAGCTGAAGTTCGAAGCCGATTGGCTCCCATGCACAGCTGCACCAGGTTCTGAGAGCTCCGGTTGGAGTAGATCTACCCCCCATGTATGGCACAATCTTTACGATTTTCCTTAACATGTCCGCGACTTACAGACCACGATAACACGCTTTGAGCTGCAAATATTTTCAGCAGGGATTTTCTGAAACCTAAACATTATTTCAAGGCTTCCTCCAGGGTAGAGAGGTGGTGTTAAAGTCCTGAAAAATGGAAGTTCTCCACACATGAAGCTGTAGAATTTCGAAAGCGTCTTGTCTTGACATAAATATGCTTCTATTAGCTTTTTCGGGGGGGATAAGTAAATTGCTTAGAAGACACAAGCTTGAACATCAGCCAATATTTGTCTACGTTCCTGCAGGAAGGATAACATTTCAGCAACTGCAAGTAATGACAAATACTGAAGTAAAGCTGGAACTAGTATTCTGAGAGGACAAGTAATATCCAATTTGCAATAGCTTCAAGGAAATCTGTCGGGATGAAAGTATGTAGAGAACCGACGACACCCCTTGGGAAAACTGCGATTGGCTGGAGGTCCTGCTCACGCTTTAGTGCTTTTAGCAAAAGAATCAAAATTCATTAGATCTGTGCTGCTGGAGGTCATGAACTATATACTTACTCCAGGTCAGGAGCTCAGAAGCATTGAAGCCAAGCAGGCAGCATTCGTAGGCCAGCATTGCCGGTCCATATTTCTCTTTCTACAGGCATACTTTAAAGGATACTGGACTCTTTGTTGCAAAGACTAGTCATCTCAATGAACATTCAATGGAACCATAGGGCTCCTCTAGATCAGCCTCTCTCAACGGGGTTCTATGGAACCATATGGCTCCTCTGAATCAGCCTCTCTCAACCGGGTTCTATGGAACCATAAGGCTCCTCTGGCTCAGCCTCTCACAACCCGGGTTTAATGGTACCATAGGGCTCCTCTGGATCAGCCTCTCACAACCCGGGTTTAATGGTACCATAGGGCTTCCTCTGGCTCAGCCTCTCACAAGGGTTCTATGGAACCATAGGGCTCCTCTGAATCAGCTCTCTCAACCCAACCCAGGTTCTACGGAACCATAGGGCTTCCTCTGAATCAGCCTCTCTCACAGGGTTCTATGGAACCATAGAGCTCCTCTGAATCAGCCTCTCTCAACCCAGGTTCTATGGAACCATAGGGCTCCTCTGGATCAGCCTCTCACAACCCAGGTTCTATGGAACCATAGGGCTCCTCTGGATCAGCCTCTCTCAACCCAGGTTCTATGGAACCATAGGGCTCCTCTGGGTCAGCCTCTCACAACCCAGGTTCTATGGAACCATAGGACTCCTCTGGATCAGCCTCTCACAACCCAGGTTCTATGGAACCATAGGGCTCCTCTGGATCAGCCTCTCACAACCCAGGTTCTATGGAACTTGAGAGTCCCTTCTAATGTTGCTAGAGGATCCTTGAGTCATGGCTGATTGACCACCTATTTGGATGGTGTCAGCATAGTCTAAGTCAATGGCATGACACCAGTGATTTTTCTAGCTGTCTGTAAGGATGCATTCTGACCACCACTGTAAGAACATTCTCCACCCTAACCACCAATGTAAGGAACATTCTCTGGACTCTCAATGAATTAATTTTAGTAAGGGTTCCCTGAGACCTGAAAATGTAATGGTTCCACTGTTTAAAAAAAACAAACCGTTGAAATAGGCTGCTCTAAAGGGTGCTGGGGGTTGCTTCAGCTATGAATGCTTGATCTTTCATTTGATGGTGCCTGCACAGTTCCAGGTTCTACACCACTTGGAAAAGCCAGCAGCATGATACACGATCTCTTTAAAGTGGATCTAAAGGCTCAAAAAAAAAAAAAAAAAAAAAAACCCCCAAACATCTCCTGCATGTAGCAACCACCCCCTCCCCCATGCCAGCTTATACAGA